TGGGCGGGCCGGCCCGGGGTTACAAACAAAGAGCCCTTGGAGGCCAATCTGTTTTTCCGTAACTGTAGAGGTCTTGCGTCGGTATGAAGTAAGGTTTGGGTGTCATATTTTTCGGCACCAATCTCTTGTCATCTCGATTTATCGTGACAAACGACTACTAGACTGTGTACGTAGTCTAAGGTTTTGACAAAGATTTTCTAGGGCAGCAACAATTCGGTGCGTTTTTTGCCAAGCCTGTCTTTCAAGAGAAGCGAAAGCATGTATGTATGTACATGGATTGCTGCAGTCAGTTTCTCTCCCTGGCCGCTGCCAGAATGAAGAGCACTCGGGATGAACGAACTTGCCGCCTATTCTGTAGGGATTCAGCATCCTTGGATTATCTTGTACCTATCCCATACACCGCCACAGGGGATAACACTTGGTTGTCTTTTCACCTCCTCCCGCTTTTTAAGTTGCATGCTCGTTGTTGTCTTCACAGGGTTCTTGGTGTGTCTGCTTCACACTTACTCACTTCCAGATTTCAGAGTTCGTGGCCCAAGAGACTATGTTAAGCTTCGACCCAACACATGGCGAAATAGACGCCGAGCGAAGGAGTACCTCCCACCAGGGTGAGGCAGAGCTGGCACGGCTTGGGGTACGTTGTCGACGGGGTGAGGATGGTGCAGGATACGCTACAACCGTCCTCGTCGCGGTTGTTGGTACGGTCGCAAGGGGAACACTTACTTGCCTTTACCGTCGCGCTTGTTATTGAGCTTAAGATGACCGCCGTCGTCGCAGTCGGGCCCGGGGCAAGGCCAGTTGGGGTCGCCCTTTTGTACAGGGCGGCGGGACTCTCCACTACGACTCTGACTGGGTGGACTTACGCTTTGCTGGGGAGCTACGGGAGAGGGCGTTCATGTTATGTTGCAGCTGAAGGTCGATGCGGGAATGAGAGGGGAGGATGTCGAAAATGAGAGTGACCGGGTGGGGCCGGTGGGGCTGGAACACGCTTTCACGCTTTACAGACTAAATTCTGACTAACTTGGAGAGGAATACAGAACACGCGACGAAATGTGCACTCTTTCTTTCACTCTGCACAGACTAACGTCTGACTAACTTCCAGCAATTATTCCATGAAATGGTTTACACAACCCAGAACGTTCACTCTGCACAGACTAACTAACTTCTGACTAAACTTCCAACAATTATTCTAACTTCTGATTAACTTCCAGCAATATTCCACACAAACAACCCAGAACGTTCACTGTGCACAGACGAAGGGTCGGTCTTAACGAAGGAATCAGATATCAAAACCACATTTCGATATAAGAATAAAAGAGTCGGATCTACCCAAATCCGGACAGAAATGGCCTGTGTGTCTTAACGGCAGATCTGCAAAAATTAAAATGGAAATGAATCTCTGCAATCCACGGCGAACAGCCCAACCAAGAGGTCCGCCGCTTGCCAACTGCCAGATTGCTGTTGTGACGTACTGTTATGACGTGGTCACACCACATGGGGAGCTATCGCTCCCGACAAGTACACACCAAACGCGTACATGGCCTCTGTGCGGTACTGACACGAATTCTATATGCATGTATGTGAGAGTTTGAATCGAGCCTCGTCCGACGGAAAGCCGCCAATTCGTCTGTGCATTTATTTGAAGTTCGACAACCCACGGGAGACTGCCCCACAGACCTACACATCCCACACACGTTATTGTTCGGCACCAGTCACGTGCAACAACGATGCGCCGTCACCCTCCCTTTGGGGTGGCTTATTGTTGATAGGATGTAGGTCGGTCCCAGGAGGTATACCCTTCAGACACCTACACTACCCTCTTAGAGTTAGTCTAGTCTGCATACCCCTTGAGGTGAAGTGGGAAGTCACTTCCCACTTCACCTCTCAGACCCTTGCTGATCGTCACTCAGCAATAACAAGCAACTTTCCCATCCCAAAAAAAAAAAAAGTCAATCGACAGATACCCTTGCGAATCGGGACCTCCTTAACAGTTGCGTGCATTCACGGTGCTGTAGCTCTACTTGCCTTTGGAGTTTCGAGCTCGCGACAGGGGCGCTGTGATCCAGAGACTGGCCCGCTGCAGCGGGCAACAGCCGGCGAAAAAAAAAGTCTCAAGGCGACCGCGAAAAAAAACGTCTTGCTTTTAGAGTGCAACAATGGTTGAACTATTCTTGCGTCTCAGGCCTCCGACATAATATAATTATAGTTAAGTCTATATTAATATGTCATTCTGCCGCATGCAACTTGTGTCAATCTGCCGTCGGTGCTTGATTCTTTTACAACACATCACATCTATCTGCGACTGATTAAATCTTGTGAAATTGGTGGGGATACAACTGCGAACTTCGAAGAGGTTACTTCGTTATGTGTACAAGTATAGTTCCCATATCTCACAGGGAACCGGTCTCCAAGATCCGAGACCGTTCCGCGGACGGACTCGGAAAAAGAGAGAGATCCTCTTTTCATCTCTTTCTTTGTCAAGCGGTGCCATGCAGTGGTGCTGTTGTTGCAGGGCATGACGGGGCAGAAGAAAGTTGGCAGGTGCGGATGAACCGTTGAACCTCTGTGGGTAACGTCCTCTTCGTGAAAAGAAAGCGGAGTGCGGAGTACTGGCAGGCTGGCAGGACGTGCGATGCTCGAAGTATTTATCCGAAACGGTTGCAATCCCGCCGCTCCCACTTTTACTCCTGGAAATTTCGAAAGTTCCTCTTGTGTTGCCTCGTTGCCTCCGTTCCTCCCCAGGTTGCATCACATTGTTCTTGTGCGGCCCGTGGGTTTCAACGGGAACGAGAGCCCTTCCGTTGGGGTGAGTGTGTATGTACCCTGAGGATAGTTTCCATTTCTCGCCATTGCTGCTTTTTTCTGGGCGTGTGATTGTACGTGGGTGTGCAATTTCCCTCTCCCGACTACACCTCTCCTCTCCAGAGTTTTTACCGAAATCTCGCGAAGTCGTTGCCGGTGGTGCCTAGCTCTCTCTGCCGTTGTGGCTCGATGGGCGGCTGGTCCTCGAGCTACAACACACCAACACTGCCGTTCGACAGACTCCCTGGCTCATATGTTCTTGCCGCTTCTGCTCTCTGACACTCCAACTTGTGAACCAACGCTGACTCTGGCACCTTGGTCTACTAACGGAGTTGTCTTGAAGCAGAGCCAGCTTATGTAACATTCACGTATTTGGGGTACTGCTGTACTGGTAGCCTTTGTAGTAAGGTCGCAACAGCGAGCATGGCTATTCTGCCAGCAGCAAGCGTGCGGCCTCTGTTCACCCGGGGCGGTGGGCGCGATACTGCGCTGCTGCGGTAGTTTTGTGACGTACAGCAGCCCCGCGCTCAACACGGGCCAGAACCGGTTGTCGATTGAGAGGCGGGCTGCAACAGCGGGCAAATAGCAGTCAGTCCGTTCATGTTGTACGGACTGCTGTAGGTCCTTCACAATAACTCTCTCTTTGTGCCCCTATTGATTCCGCCCTCCAGCGAACTGGACAGAAGCTCCTTTCCCTCCTCGAACTCCGCCAGTGATGCTGATGCTGCATCGATTTCAGAATCGTATCGTATGTTGGCACGTTGGCACCTGATTGCTGGTACCATTCCTGTGTTATACATATGTCGCTCTGCATTCCCGGTGTCCCCGTCGGCATGCCGTGACGTGAGGCTACCGATTTCCTACATAAATAGCCCGCCCTCGCTCGGGCGCATCTCCCCCCCCCCCCGAAGTCCGACGATGGTGATGATCCCCTTGGGTTGTCCTGTACTCCCCTCCCTGCATAGTTTCCGACTGCACACCAAACACCCGTTCCTCCGTAAGGGTGCCCCATACTGCAGTTGGGTGGTGTGTGTGATTCCGGTCAAACGATTATTTGGTGGTGGCGGTCTGCCCCCCCTACCCCCCTGAAGTAGATCTTAGCGGCTGTTGTTCGCACACAGCCGTTTTGGCACATCACGAGGAAGCCCAGTTCGCGGCTAGGTGTCGCCTCCGTTCAAACAACGCCCAAGCTCTACGTTGATAATACGGTTCGACATTACAAAAAGCCGTGTCGTGACAGGAGAGAAGTTGTAGAGAGTTACGGGTGTGCACCGGAACAGCCTTACACACATGTAAACGGGTTCCCGGCATCGACGTAGCGCTCAATTATCCAATATTTGGCGTCTGGAGCGTTCAGTTTACTGCTGTATTCAACACGATTGTCGACCCTAGCGATTTAGATGTGTGTGCGCCTTTTTGCGTTGGGCAGCGAGGACATCTACAGAGTCATCTCCTACATCTCTACAACCTCCGTGTCCGTGGGGGCTACTGAAGCGAGAAAGCGTTCTTGACCCACAGCAGTTTTTTTGCCTCCACCAACTGGCTTGAGCCAGGAGCAGCAGTGGGAGCCGATTCCTTTGCGTTGGTTTTGGTTTGTATCCACAGCGCTTGAACGCCGGCTTGACGACTGGGGCCGCGCTCCTTCCCATGGTATCGGAAGCCCCATGATCGGTCGCTCAAGGATCCCGCACGACGGAAGCACGCTTGTATCGAGTTTATTATCTTGTGGGTGAGGGAGGGACACACGCCTCCGTATTTGCTCCATTTTGTACGGAAGGATAGGATGCGCAAACAGTGGTGCACACTCATGTTTACATTTTGTTTTTTCTTGGATCCGGCGAACACAAGCAAATAAATATGCTTCTGCTTGCGCTCCGCTACAAAAAGTAAATACACTTGTGCTGGGGCTTCGCTCTCGGGTTTATGTTGAAAGTATCACAAGCATGTATGAAGCATGGTTCCGCCTTGGTGAACCCAGTATATTCACGCCATCACTCACCATCAACCCAATGAGCCTCACTTCCTGCGTTTTCAACTCTCGTCCGACACTATTGTATCACAAAATAAACAGGTGTGTGACAACTTGATCGACTCGAGCCGGAACCAGGTACAGCAAAGACGAAGGCGACAGCAGCGACGGAGGCGCAGGCTTTTTAGCCTATCGAATCAAATCGGTGTGTGTGTTTGCTTTTTTTGACATGGGCGACGGAGGAGGCGGGGGGGGCGGGGGGGGCGGTGGAGGAGGAGGAGGTTTCGGGGGTGGGGGTGGGGGTGGGGGTGGATTTGGCGGGGGGGGCGGGTTTGGGGGGCACCACGGGGGAGGGTTCGGGGGGCACCACGGGGGAGGGTTCGGGGGGCACCACGGAGGGGGCTTTGGGGGGCACCACGGGGGTATGTTCGGCGGACCCGGGGGACACATCCATCACGGCAGAGGCATGTTTATAGGGGGGCCGGGGCACCATCACCCCGGGGGCTTCTTCGGCCCCGGGCATCACGGGCACGGAGGTGGTTACGGCGTGTCCCCGGCTCACGGGCCGGGCGGCCTCGTTGGGGCGGGCCCGGTGTTCGCGCCCTGGCTGGGAGCGCTGGCGGTGGGCGCGGTGGCGGCGTCGGTGGTCTCGCCGTACACGAGCTACGACGGGGGGAGGAACGGCATGGTGGTGTGGCGGGAAGGGCAGCAGGAGATGTCGGCGCCGGTCAACATGGTGACGGTGAGGAGGAAACGATCCTTTCGTATTTGTTTTGCTTGGCGAAGCTTTTTCCTGTCTGTACTCCAGGTTCTCTCGTGCGTGGCATTTTTTTTTTTTTTTTGTCGTGTGTACGTACTAGCCTGGTACGGGCGTATGGCTACTGAAAACATTTTTCTTTTCCATCGTAAGCGATTGTTGCAGCACGTTATTGTTCTTGGAAGCTGTTGTGGTGCTTTTGTCGTGGACTGAAGCATTTTCGCGTGGGATGTTTTGACCCGCGCTGAGCGGTTTTCCGTTGAGGATGCGAAAATAGCTGGTGACCGGGCCTTCTTCCATGGAAGAGACGTATTTGCCCACATGTGGAGGCTGTAGTGTAGTGCACTGTCCAGCTGCTGTGTCTCTGCTTGGCCTAGAGGTCCGCATCTTGGCTTGATGGGTGTTAGCTGGTGTACGATGATGGTCCCGTGCGTAGGAAGGCGTGGGCGATTTCGGTCGACTATCGGTTACATGCAGTACCTCCTGTTCAGAGCGGCTGAACGGCGCGCCGGCTATGTCCGAGGCTGCTTGCGCGCCTCTATAAAAAGACACCAGTAGTTTGCTTCGGTTCGGTCGTTCTTCACATCTCCCCGAACAAGATGGCATCCTGCCTGATCCGTGTACATGACCGCTAGAACTGTCCGCCTGCATGAGGAGTTTTGTCCCATCCCGCTACCTTAACCCGTCGTGGACTGTTAATCTTGCGTAAGAGGCGATGCAGTGGTCTATGGCACGGTAAAACATGCCGTGAGTTCTACAGCAGCGCGAAGTATGGGTGTTTTACGGTCGTCACACGGTAAGGTACACGGTTCGGGCACACGGACATGATAACACCTTGCTCCCTCTTTCGCAGGTCCGTGTCTGTCAGGCGCAGAACCTCAAGAAGGTCCAGATGATCGGGAAACAAGACCCCTATGTGCGCGCGAAGCTGTTGTTCAACGGCCACAAGGCGAGAATGTTTGGGGGAGCGCGTTAGGCAGTCGTTCGTTTTTGTTCATGTCTGGGTTGCTTGTCAAGTGTTGTAGCAATGTTTCGATTTTGACTTCCACCCTTGCTTTGGTTTGGTCTCGTGTGACGTGTGACGACCGCGGTCGGCTGTTCGGCAAAACCTTCAAGGTGGCGGTGTCATGCCTTGCGCGCAAGATTCTGTCTGACCGATTGGCCGTGGACAACACTAACCGCCACCCAAGGATCTTCGGCCATCTCCGAAATAGCATCCCCCAAGGTTTTTTTACCGGTCAGAGAATTGCTGTGTGCCACCTTTCCGTGAGGGGGGCACGCTCCTAGCGGGGGGGCACAACAGCATGGCATCCCAGCGGTCCCATACACCTCCTTGGAGGCGTAAGCGGAGCCAATAAGACACGTTGAGGGTCTGGGTTCTGTGCGGACCCGCCGTTTCTCTTTGCGAAGTATCTCGCTCAGTGTAGTGGTACACGGCGTTTTTTGTCGTGTTTCGAGAGGCGAAATTTTTAGGTTTGGTTGTGACTGCATTCGAGCAGGCCGAACTTCTCCACCAACTCTCGCGCGACGGTCTTCTGTCGAGAGCTGTTGCTTGCGCCGCCATCTTTTTTGCCGATCCCGCCCTGCGTCCCGCTCTGAATCTCTGGCTGGCCACACACGAGCCCCCTACCGGCAAGAACGTTGTCGACTCGACTCGCATGCCCTGATTGCATATGGCATCATTCAAGCGCACAACACGACCGGAACTATGGATGCTTATGACCTCGCCGCCCTTGTTGTCTGGTGCACACGGGTCTCTATTACCGATGCACAACATTTTTCGGTCCTAGAAAGGTGTAACCCTCTTTGGGTAGTTGGTTTGCGACCACGGAAAGACGTTCGCGTCAGATGGACCAGTACCGACGGACATTAGAAGGTACTGAGCGGAGACCGGAGCGGTTTTTTCATGTGAAGACAGCCACAACAACAGCAAACCAACCATTTACCATGTTGTCTTCTTGTTTTTTCTGGTTTTTGTTAGATCGGCGAGTGTCGGAGCTCGACTCACACCGACGGTGGTCGGAACCCGACCTGGCAAAACATGGCCAGGAGCGTCTTCACCTTCTACGTCCCGGCGACGGTAACCCTCGAAACGCTGGCCGTCGTACTGGACGTGGTGAACGACAACCTGGTCGCCGACAGCATCATCGGCACGACGGGAAGCATCGGTCTCAAGACGGTAAGGCATCTCTCCCTCGCTCTCTCTCTCGCCCTCTCTGCTTGTGTGTGTGTGTCTCTCTCTCTCTCGCTATCTCCTTCTCTCTATGTCTCTATGTATATCTATCTCTATCTCTGTCTCCACCTCAATCGCTATCTCTAGCTCCCTCTCCCTGTCTCTCTCTCTCTATCTATCTTAATCGTCGCTGTTTTGTTTTTTCCTCCGCGACAATGCCTCCTATTGCCTTCGCCCCGCATCTCGCGACATGAGCTCTGGGATTCATCGCCCCACATTTTTCGTTCTGGAGCACACAGCAACAACGGCAGCAATTAACACGTCTCTCTTCCCGGCACGGGTATAGGGTGATGCATGATGCTGAGGATTTTGCTCTTGTCCTTGGTACCATTCTAAGCCGAAGTAGAGGTGTGCGGCACGATTCCAGCTGTCGTGAAACTGCCGTGGTGTGTTGTTGCGAGAAACCGACCGCTGGGCCGCCTGAAACACAGCGGCGGCGACAGAAAATTGCCCCGAGAGTGGGAGGGGAAGGGAGATGAGTGAAGCAAGACTTGGCCTGACTCATCTACGTAGATGAGACTGTCGGGAACATCGATATCGCCCGGGTGTTGGCGGTGCCTAGTAGGACTACAGCCGCAGCAGGACACAACGCCACATGTAATAGCATCGTGTCGAAGGAGATGATTGGCCGGCGGTCGAATGACCCACGCAAGCAACCCCCCCCCCCCCCCGCCCCCCCGCCGCCGCCGCGGACTTGATCAGGCAGCCACGGGGGAGTCAAAGTGGTGGAATGTATCAAGCGGCGGAACACTCCAGGCGATTATCGAGCTCATCACCCCCGAATCCGGGGGAGGGGGGGGCACCGGAACGCACCCCAACATCGCCTACTCCAGGAGCAGCGCGGCGGCGGCCGCCCCGGCGGTGGCGTCCTCCCGACCAAGCGGCGGCAGCTACAACGGGGGTCGAGTCGCCACGGTTAACCCGTCCCCCCACGTCGCGGTCGCTCACGCCACCCCGGTGGCGGCGGGGGCTCCGGGGAATGCGTACGGTGGGGCCACCCCGGTGGCGACGGCTATGTCGGACCCCCCTCCGTCCTACGAGGTAAGCGGGCGCGGGAGCGCGCTCTCGGGTGTTGTTGTTGTTGTTGCTTTTGTTCGTTTTGGCGCTTGTGCGCTTGTTTTTGGTCGTCAGGCTGCCGCGCTGAGCAAGCCTAGTGCTTCCGCGTCCCCGCGCGTCCGCGCGAGATTGGCACACGTGTGTATGCTGCGGTGGCCGTGGCTTCGCGCCTGCGCAAAATTTCGTCTCGAGTGCCGTTTGGCTGGAGCGGTGTGTCCCTTAGAATGGAAATGGAGTGTTCCGTTGCGTCTCGAGGGAGCAGCGCTAGTTACGCGGGATGGCTGTCTTCAGCGGTTTGGCCGAGCCCTCGTTGGGCTGCTTTGCTTGATATGATGTTAAATTTGAAACGCGCAGCCACTGAGTGCCCCCCCCCCCCCCCCCCCCAAAAA